CCCTTGCCCACAGTGCTCGACTGCCCGACGCCCTCTTCTCTCCCGCCAGCTCACCCAAAGCGGGCGCCCGGGTGTCCCCAGCGAGAGCGCTGGGCGTCCCTGGGCTGTGGGGCCAAGGTACGTGGACGCGGGGCTCGGAGGCTCCTTGGCATCCAGGATAATCCCTGTGATTGCTGCAGCCCTCCTTAAACGAGCAGAGGTGCAGGAACAGGAGACATGATGTGAAAGTCCCAGGCGTGCTGCTGAAGGAGGTCCTGCCCTGCTGCACCAGGGCTCCTGGTGGGGTCCCAGCTCTGTGCAGGGTCCTGGCTCCCTGCGAGGTCCTGGCTTCCTGAGAGGTCCTGGCTCCCTGCGGGGTCCCAGCTCCCTGCAGGGTCCTGGCTCCGTGCGGGGTCCCAGCTCTCTGTCGTACCCCAGCTCCCTTTGCCAACAGATTGGCCATCCTGGTAAGGAAAACTTTAAACTAGGCAAGATGGGGGAAGGCCAGAATTATGGAGAGCACCTAGACAGCAAAATAGGCCTCAAGTGGGGATACCTCCAGCGGCTGCATGCAGCCAAGGAAGTGCCTACAAGACATGACTATAGGGTGTCCTCTTGCACCTCTCCTGAGAAACTGGCACACTCAAATACCTCCCTGAAATGCCTGTACGCCAATGCACGCAGCTTGGGGAATAAACAGGAAGAATTAGAGATCTGTGTGCCCTGTCGCAGGGCCACGATCTCATTGCAGTTACAGAGACATGATGGGATAGCTCACATGACTGGAAGGCTGTCATGGATGGGCATGTAGACAGGCCAGGAAGGCGAGGTGGTGGAGTTGCTCTTTATGTGAGGGAGCAGCTGGAATGTCTGGAGCTCTGCCTCGGGGTGGATGCTGAGTGAGTCAAGAGCTTGTGGAGAAGGACTGAGGGGCAGGCTAACATGGGTGAAAGCAAGGCACAAACAGTCGAGGAGGTTCCTGCAGAACATTGAGGATAATTTCTTGACTGAGGTGGTGGAGACACCAACAAGGAGAGGTGCAATGCTAGACCTTGTACTAACGAACAAAGAAGGTCTGGTTGGAGACGTGAAGGTTGGGGGCAG